TCTTAAGTCTTTTAATTAGTTTTAGTATTTAACTTTAATATTTCTTTTATTCTTCATCGCTCATCCTCTTCAATTCGTAAACTAAAGTAACTGTTTACGAGTTGCTAGTTGTAAATTGCCTTTTGGAAAAATAAAATTAGCCCAAAAGGTCGACTAGTAACATCGGTCACACCTTCGGGAAGGTCAAATAAAAAAAGAGCACGTCCAACGGGCTAGAGATGTGATCCGTGGATGACCAATTCGTCAATCTGACAGATTATTCGTGATATCACGGATTGACAAATTACTTTTTAAAAATTTATATAATCCGGATTTAAAAAAAAATAATCCGGATAATTCAGATTATATATATCAATCTGCAGATTAAAAGATTAATTCGTAGATTAAAGGATTTAATCCAGATTATTCTTTCAATCCTCGGATTACTCTTTCAATTCGTGGATTACTCTTTCAATCTATAGATTAGAGATGCGATCCGTGAATGACCAATTCACTAATCTGACAGATTATCCGTGATAACACAGATTAACAGATCACTTTTAAAAGTTTAAAAGATCCGGATTAAAAAATCTACCTTAATTTTTCCATATTCTTTTTTTTATTTATTTAATAACATGGCATAGAGATGTCCAATCTGAAAGAAACAACTACCAAAATGTTCGCATCGGTGAGGGAAATCGAATGAGCTATAAATCGCTAAAATTGGATCACAGGTTATTGAAATTGATATTTGATATGGATAATTATAAAAGAATTTTATTATTGATTAAGCATGTTTTATTTAATAACATGATATAGAGATATCCAATTTAGATGAAACAACTACTGAAATGTTCGCCTTGATGAGGGGAATCGAATGAGCTATAAATAGCTAAAATTGGATCACAGGTTATTGAAATTGATATTTGATGTGAATAATTATAAAAGAATTTTATTACTGATTAAGCATGTTTTATTTAATAATATGGCATAGAAATGTCCAATTTGGATGAAACAACTACTGAAATGTTCGTCTCGATGAGGGGAATCTAATGAGCTAAAAAAATGCAAAAATTAGATCACAGGTTATTAAAATCGCTATTTGATGTGGATAATTATAAAAAAGGTTTATTACTGATTAAACATGTGTTTATTTAATAACATGACGTAGAGATGTCCAATCTGGATGAAACAATTATCAAAATGTTCGCCTCGATGAGGGGAATCTAATGAGCTAAAAAAGCAAAAATCAGATCACAGGTTATTAAAATCGCTATTTGATGTGGATAATTATAAAAAAATTTTATTATTGATTAAGCATGTTTTATTTAATAACATGGTGTAGAGATGTCCAATTTGGATGAAACAACTATCAAAATGTTCGTCTCGATTAGGGAAATCGAATAAGTCATAAATCGCTAAAATTGGATCACAGGTTATTGAAATCGCTCTATTGGATATAAATAATTATAATTTATTATCTATGGAAAAAAAAATAATTCACAAATTGGACGGATAATCTGCGGATGGATGGATGATCCACGGATTGAACACATGATCCACAGATTGGATGCATGATCCGCAGATTGAACGGATGATCTGCATAATCCGCGAATCAATTTGTCCAATTCACAGATAATTCACGAATTGATTAGATTGACTATATAATGGATGACAGATTGAAAATTTGATGGTAACACAGATTACAGATCACACAGATTGATCCGGATTGCACCTCTACAATGGGTCTAACAGAAACAGAACCAGAAGCAGAAATTAATTGTGAGATATCGAATTTAACTGAAGGTAATAATATTAAATATAATAATTTATTTCTTTTTAAAAAAATATTTATATATTTATTTATAGGAACACAAGAAGGAATACAAGAAGAAATACAAGAAGGAATACAAGGAATGCAAAAAGGAATACAAGAAAAAATATTTCCAGAAGGAAGAACTAGAAATCTTACTCTGGATAAATTAATTTCATAAAATGCTGAAGTAATAAAAAATTTTAATACCTTAAATAATAAAATCGATAAACTTGAAAAAATAATTGCTGATTTTGTCAACAAAAGAGAAGATATATTACCGGAGTTTATTAAGGTAATCTAATTACAAAACCTTTCATTTGATAATAAATTATAAAAGATTATTTATAATTTATTTTATTATTAAAAATTAGTTAAAGAAATAGTAGATAAAACCTACAATATCACTATATATCCCATGCAAAATCAATTTGAAGATATTTCATTAGATATCATAAAAAAAAAATATCAAAGTATATTTAGTACATATCAACAAAAAAAATGGAATGCCTTTTACGAAGGTCATACATCCTGAAGGGCATCAACGATTTTTAAATATTTGAAATCAATAAATTAATACTATTATAAATAATAACTGGAAGTTTCCTATATTTTTTTTTTTATATATTGTAGAAATGTACTTAAAAGCTGCTATAGACCTCTTCCACTTCTCTAGTTTTACTTGTTCTATAAAAAAAATTAGGATCAAAAGTTTTGTTATCAAAGATAATGCCAAAAATAATTAACCTACCAGTAGTAAGATTCAATATTTTCTTATTTAATTGTGGTGAATAGGTGATATATTTCTCAAATACAAAGTTAAGGATGTTTCCCAATATTACATCCTGCCAACTATATCTGACACCATCTTTGTTAATGTTGTTTTTCTGGTCCCATGTTCACCCCAAATTATATAATAATTTGATGCACCTTTATTTGGATTTAAAATTTTTTTGAGTTGTTCTACAACTAAAGATTATTCAACAACAGGTTCTTTTGTCCATATCAATTTGTGGTCTAGTGCCCTTTTCCAGTTTGTTAACAAGATGACATTCATTCAATACCAAGCATATGAAAGATCCAATGACAAAAGTGAAAAAGAACCAAAGAAGCCAACTGCAATTACTTTGGCAAATATAGCAGTCTATAAATAACAAAAATGTGTTGAGAATTTGACTGAATAATGAACAACAAGTGATGATCATTCCATACCGGGAGTTGTTTTGCAGTGTTTTTTGTAAATTTATTCAGGATGAAGATGAAATAGACTCTTTGGGAGATGTGATTAGAGTTTACATAAGGTAATAATTGAAATAAATTTGTTTTTATTGATTGGCGATCAATAGTAATCAATGCTATTATAATTGATTAATTAAGGGCATTTATAAATCACGCCAGTGATCAGGTATTTCATGTATAAGATTATGTGACAAATATGGTTTCCGTGTGTAAAAAATTCTAAGTCCCTATTCGAAGGGTGTGACATATAGTGATAAATACAAAAACTCTAACGGCATAAGATATAGATGCTTCAAAAAAAAAAATCAAATCCTTGCTCAATACAAAATTGTAATTTTCAAGTATCTCATTTTTGCCAAATTACTTCACTAATATTTAAGAAAATTCAAGATAATGGATTATACAGATTTTGTCCTTATTTAAAAAATCGGATAACAATTATGCCATATGCATTATATGAATATAATTGAAACTATCACCAAAAATTAAAAACACAAGGTAATATTGATGATTATAAAATTTAATATTATAATATAATTAATTTTAATTTTTTTATTTTTGTTTTTTATAGAATTAAAGAGCTATTCATTTATTGAACAAGTTAGTATGCTAACAAAAGGTTTATATATATAACATAAAAAAATATTGAGCTTGATCCTATTCAATTTCAACAAATGATTGTAGAATCTGATCCATACTTACAAGGATCTTTTGAGATCTTTATATAATAAACTTGAAGCAAAAAAAACAAAACAATTGTAAGCTTATGTTACATAATGGCTGGGATGTGAAAAAATTTGCCAATGATTTTAAGTTAGAAGTTGAATTATATTTATCAGTATCTGAAACATCACATACTGCAATTGATACATTAAATAGTATTGGATTTTTTACATGTTATATAACAGTTAATAATTTTAAATTAAAACTTGCAAATGAACATTCTTTAAAAATAAACGACTTGAAATGGTTGAATAAAAAAATAATTTATAAAAAATTCATGATGTGAGCATCCCAATTCTAAATATTATAGCACATCATTAAATTCCATGTTAGAATCGATTAATTCAGGTATTTATTGGTTTAAATAATTTTTAAAATGAAATAATTCATTATACGTAATAATAATTTCTTAAAATGATTTCTATAGATTTATTCTCTAATGATAATTTACTCTCCAATGATCGTTTTGATATAATGGATTTCAAGTAAGAATTATATACTATTTAATCTATTTTATTTATATATACTTCAATTACTAATCGATTTCACCAATATAGATAAATATTGATAATTTTCAAATAGTTCTAATCAAAAGAAAAATTTCGAAAATTCAGACCAAAATACAAGTGCGGAAAATTCTAAAAAAACATTTTTTGTATGAATTACTGCAAGAAGAAAAAATTGAAGACCAAAGTAATGTTTATTTAAATTTATAATATTTTTAATATTTTTATTAATTTATATTTATTTTTACCAACAGATGACTTTAAACGAAGAAAATTTGTTGAATAATTTAATGAACGTTTCGTAGATGAAAGTATGGATAAATTACTTATTTTTATTTTATTATTTTTTTTACTTTTACTTCTATTACGCACAATTAGAATAAAGATGAATTTAGTGATTTTATAACAAATTCTTTAAATTCGAATTTATTTTATTTTATTTTCATATCTTTTATAAATTAGAAATTATTAAATTTCACCGTTACAACTGACAATTACCAGCGGTGATACCCTATTACATTTTTCTTTTAAAAAAAGCCAATGGTACATAGTATAAATAATTGTTGAATGTTTACGACTTAAGAGCTGATTAATTCTTCCATTCTGTTGGTTAAAAATTCAATTAGAGAAAGCAAATATCGTATCATCATTTAAATTCATTAAATATAGTTCGCGTACTTTTATCAGTTTGTTTCAATGTAAAAGTTTTAAATATAAATCATTTTTTATTTGCATTATAATTTAATTATATATAGTGTATATACATATATAAGAAATATGATTCATTTAAATTTTTTTTATCTATATTTATTATTTAAATACACTTTTTTTATTTTAATTTACTTCATTTACACGTTTTATTTCTTTTTTTTTTTTTGTAATAAATATATATACATTATGTAAAATATCTAAATATATTATTTTAAATTCACACATATCACGAGATTTTTTTATAATAAAGATAAGAGAAGTAAAGTACTGTTTATGATATGTGTAGTAGGCAAATTTTATTCAAAGTAAAATAAAAAATAAAAAAATAAATAAATAAAACTAAAAATACTCGAATAAATACTTAACTAAAATGATTAAAAATGTGATTTATTTACTTCTTCTGCTGTATCAACTTTATATATTTCTTCTTCCCCTTCAGAATTCACACCAATGTTCTAATTTTTATTAAGTTTTCATAAGATGATTTAAAAAAATTTATAGTTTTTGTATCGGAAACTAATGATTTTTAATTTATTTGAAAATTTAGAGTTGAAATTTTTTTGTTTATTATATAACATGCAATAAAATAATTGGTTGACAAAATAACCAGAATTTTCAAAACTTTTGGGTCGGTAGTGTTAAATTAATTAAATTAATGCAAATTGCTTTAATTAATTCCATATAAAAATAAACCAACATATGTTTTTATGCTTGTTTTTAATAAAACTATAAACATTCTTTGAGCTGCTAAATAAAAATTCACTATAAAAATAAAGATATATTTATGCATTAGATTATAAACTCATAAATACACACTTCTTTTTTCATTTTTACATATAATTCTTAAAAAGGCAATAATCTTATATGACAACATGTTTTATGTTTTTCACCTTTATTTTTTTTTTTGGATACTTGAATTTCAATGTAACACAATAAATTTTAAAAAAGATAAAAAACCCAAGAAAATTTTAATAAATGGAATTTACGTTAATGGTAATGATGAAATTAATAAGAAAGAATAATGAAAATATTCATGAATAAATAAATATAAGTTGCAACAGTACTATACTACTATTTTTTGCGAAAATCCTTCATAATTTTTGTCATTATCTCTAAAAATACAAAAATAAAATAAGTAAGGTCCTAACAAGAAATTTGTCTAATCGTATTAACGTTCTTGTTCGAAAGTTGGCCAACGCCCCTTTGCAGGGCATCGAATAGGACGCCATCGGATTCCAACACGTCCTTCAGAGAGAGTAGCAATTTTTTGGAAGGCAGTCGATGTTAAATCAACATTCTGAGAACTAGATGGACATCCACCACATTTATCAATTACTTTGACCTTAACGCATCTTGAACTTGAACCACGGCAAACTTCAATACATCTATAACAATGTTCAAGATTATTCATATACATGGCTGCAATGAAATCAGTATCTTTAGCATTATAGTTGGGAAGATTGTCTCTACCATAGCAAGCAGCGTGTTTAAGATCTTCTTCAATATAGTAAGTACTTTCAGCTTTAACACCGCCTGGTTTTCTACTAAGTAAACTACGACGAGAAACAGTAGTCTTAGAACTTGTCATTCCAGCTGTAGACAGATACCATCTATCTTTTAAAGGTAAAAAATCTTCCGCTGATACGATAGTAGCAGCAGCAAAGACGACGCACAAAATAAAAGTTATAGCTGATTTCATAATGATTAAATTGATTTTTTATTATATTACTATTAGGAATTAATTTATATGTAAATATTTTCGTTTTCCCCTATGTTTGTAGGATTAGGAAAGTTATTCTACTGGTAAAAGTATCAAAGTCCAGTAAAAAAGAATGTTTTATTGGACTATGAAAATGAGATATGAATAAATGGATATGAAAGAAGAGGAAATTTTTTGGTGGTCTTCAGACGATAAAAAAAACTCGCGGATTTAAAGCTTTTTCGAGCCGCCCATGAATACAATTTTAGACTTGGGAAATCAAAAATTATGCAAGGAAACGAAAGTGAACCAATAAAGAAAATAATATTAATAAAGCTTTGAATTTAGTTTTATCAAAGGTGTTGTGCTTAATTTAATATGGTGATAAATTATTATTATTCTAAAGTTAACGACCAAATATGAATGATATGAACGCACGTGAAAAGTCCAAACCAAATTTAGGATCGATCTGGTTGTTAATTTCTATAAATAACTACGTTTTTTGAATCTTTTTTATTAAGAAACCTCTTTTTCACGTAAGTAATTAATTTATGAAATTACGGTTTGTGTAAATTATATTCTGTAAGAAATATATTTGCATAAATTTAGTAAAAAAAAATTAAACGGAAATAACTTTTATTACGCATTGCAAATCTCCGTTAAATAAAATACCTATATTAGGCATTTAGATAAAATTTCATCTTTTGTTCTAGACTTTTATCACGTGGCTTTATTACATAAACAATAATCTGATCAGCAAATAGGGATATAAACTTCTGTGTCACTAAATCTGATCTGCAAATTCAAAAAAAAAAATGTAAGTCTTTTTTCCTTATTAATGTAATATCCACTAAAGACAAATTTCGACGAAAAATAAAACGGATTTTTCGATATTATATGTAGGTCACGAATAATCGTAAAAAATCTTCCTAATTTCTTATCCGACACAAAATTTCGTGAACATTTTTCTAAGAAAGGACAAGTTACCGATGCTAAAATAATAAAAACAACGTAAGTTTAATATATATAAATATATGTGTTGATATTATTTCATTTTTATCATTTTAAATAATTCTTTAACAATGATTACTTTGTTAACTTAGAGATGGTAAATCTCGTTGCTTCGGGTTCATTGGATTTCGTACAGAACAAGAAGCCAACGAGGCGATAACATATTTTAATAATACTTTCATATATACTTCACGGATAGCTGTAGAACATGCTAAACCAGTGAGTGTGTGATTGATTTCATTAATCATTTAATAATTAATTTTTATTAATTTTATAAAAAAAATTGATTTTTTATTAATTTATTAGGTTAATGATTTATTATTACCTCGTCCGTGGAGCGCTCACAGCGTTGGATCTTCGAGTTATCAAAAGCGTCACGCACAAAATTCACAAAAACCTTCCCAATTAAAATCCGATGAGGAAGATAATGTAATGACAAAGAAGAAATCTAAGAAATCTAAATCACAAGAAAAGTTAGAGAAATCAAATTTATCCGATAATGTGAAAGTGGATAATAATAATCAGGATGACAAGTTACATGAATTCTTGGAAGTTATGCAACCTAGATCCAAATCAAAAACGTGGGCAAATGATGATTTGACAATTTTAGATAAAAAGAGAAGTACTGTCAAGATTCAAAAAGATGATTCAGACGACAATCTTTACCAGGATTTACCAAAAAAGAAAAAAAATGATGGTAGTGGTCATAATAAAAAAGTTTTATCTGAAGATGATAATGATGATGATGATGATGATAAAGGTGAAGATGAAAATGATGAAGAAAATGATAATGATAAGGGGTCAGATGATGAAAGTGAATCTGACGAATCAATTAAGAGTGAGAAAAAAGAAATGAATGATACTAATGATATGGATTGGTTCAAGTCAAAAATGAGAAGAAAGTTCGACCTGGACGAGAGTGACGAGGGTGATGATGATGATGATGACATGAATGATATAAATAATTCATCTTCTCATAATAGAATTGATAAGATTAACGATATTAATAGTAACAATGGAATAACTAGAAATGAAGACTTTGAAAACAATAAAGATAATGAAAACAATGAAAACAGTGAAAACAGTGAAATAAAGCAAAATACGGATATTCATGAAACACATAATAATAATGATAATGATGTACCTTCAGCAGATTCAATTGGAGAGACTGGCCGTTTATTCGTTCGAAATTTACCTTATATATGTACAGAGGATGATTTACGTAAACAATTTAATAAATTTGGTCCACTCGCTGAGGTAGAAGTTTTTTTTTTTTTTTATTTCTATTTCTCACTTAATAATAATAATAAATAAATAATTTGAATAGGTTCACCTTCCAATTGACAAAGAAACCAAAAAACAAAAGGGATTCGCATATATTCTTTATCATATTCCTGAACACGCTGTAAAAGCGTATATAGAATTAGATAGTACAAATTTCATGGGAAGACTTTTACATATTATACCTTCTCGAGAAAAACCAGAAAAATCTCAATCCCAAAAAAATAAAAAAGATTTAAATAATATGAGTTTAAAGAAAAAAAAGGAAATGAAATTAAAAAGTTTGGCGGGAAATGATTTTAATTGGAATACGATGTACATGAATGTATGTAGATCACTATTTTCATTATTTTAAATTTCTTAAATTATTTAATAACAACAACATTAATTAATTAATTTAATTTTGATTTTATTTTATTTAGAGTGACGCAATTTCAGAATCAATTGCCCATCGTTTAAATATTAAAAAATCCGACATTTTAAATCCAGAATCTGATAATATGGCTGCTCGACTTGCCCTCGCAGAAACGCACATCATTCAAGAAACCAAATCCTTTTTTGAACTTGTATGTGAACATTTATATATATATATAATTTTATTATTATCACACATGTAATTAATTAATATTTTTTTTCAGAACGGGATTTCTCTAAATTCTTTTGAAAAAAAAGAAAAAAAGTGAAACAGTTATATTAGTGAAAAATATTTCATTTGATGCCACAAAAGAAGAGTTGGAACAAATATTTGGATGGTATGGAGAAATTAATCAAGTAAGTGAATATCTCACGTATTATATATATATATATATACATATATAACTCTAAATGACTTAGAACGAATAGATTGAAAAATAATTTCAACAATTTCAACTTTATTTTAGATGATAATCCCACCATCAAAAACAATGGCGATCATAGAATTTAAATATCCTAATGAAGCTCGAAATGCATTTAATAATCTTGCCTATAATAAATTTAAAGGATTACCTCTTTATTTAGAAAAGGCACCTTTAAATATTTTCAAAGAAAAAAAAGAAGATAATAATAATGATAATAATAACAATAATAATAATAAGCAAGTACCACTATCTTCAACAGATCTTATTGAACAACAACAACAAGGACAAGAAGAGGAGAAAGGAGGAAGAGAAGATATTGATAATGATGTAAATGCAACATTATTTGTTAAAAATTTAAATTTTAATACAAGTGAAGAAGAATTAAGAAATGTATTTAAAAGTACACCTGGTATAAAATCAGCAAAAATAAAAATGAAAAATGATCCCAAGAATCCTGGTAAAAAGTTAAGCATGGGATTTGGATTTGTTGAGTATGATAATTTGAAAAATGCGAAGAATTCTTTAAAGGCTATGCAGGTGTGTGTGTGTGTGTTATAAATGTGATATTTATTTTTAATGCGTGAAATATGTGATATAAACGAATAGTATTAAATTATTAAATATCGGGGGGTTTTTTTTTTTAGGGATATGTATTGGATGGTCATGCCTTACAATTAAAATTTTCAAATCGTGGGTTGGATGTTGTACAAAGAAAACGAAAGGAAGATGAAGCAGCTAAAAAGAAACAAGAATCAACTAAGATTATTGTTAAAAATATAGCTTTTGAGACGACGAAAAAAGAATTAAGAGAATTATTTGGGTAACTATTCTATCACTTTCTTCTACTTCTGGCTTTTTCGTTTATTATAAATAAATTAGTTTAATTAAAATTAATTAAATTATTATTAATTTGTGATATTTTTATAGTGCATATGGTCAAATTAAATCTCTTCGATTACCAAAAAAATTTGATTCCACATCTCGTGGTTTTGGATTTATAGAATTTCTTACAAAACGAGATGCTCGAAATGTAATGGAGAAATTAAGTGATACACATTTATTAGGTAGACATTTAATTCTTGAATATGCCGAAAATGATGATAAAAATGTTGAAGAATTAAGAGAGAAAATTGGTAGAGAATTTATTAGTACTGAAAGAGGTGGTGGTGGTGGTGGTGGTGGTGGTGGTGAAGTGGGAGTAGGAAAAAGAACGAGAGGGGATGGAAGGATGGGAAAGAGAAGAAAGATTAATATAGAAGAATGGGAAGAAAATAGAAATGAAATGAAAGATGATGATGAAATGGAAGAATGAATAATATAGATTTTTTGGTTATAATTATTATTGTACTTTATTTATTTAATTATAATTATTTATAAATTAATATGACAAAAATAAAAATTTCATTTACAGATTTTGCATTATATTATTTACATTAAGTATACATCTACAGTTGATATTATCTTTAATTTTTGTTTAAATAATATTCAAGTTTTTTTTGTGCTACTGATGAATTATGATGACCAATCAAATTGTAGACCATTTCTCTTTCCAACTTTGACGTTTTTTGTGTTTATATACTTTGAGATCTCTAAAACTAAGATATCAAAGATGGATCCTTCTAATCAACCAACAAACCCGACTCCGACCTCAACTCCCATCGTGGATGAGACAGCTGTCATACAGTACCTTTCACAAATGGGATTTAAACAAACGGAATCGATGTTTCGACAAGAGGCATCCAGAATTCATTCATCTAATGAACAACAATATACTTCTTCTGACGTTTCAACAATGTACCCCTCGAATTACAGGTTGATTAAGCCTGAAGAATATAAACAAAGTTATTCGAATTTAAGGAATATGATTGAACAATCTTTGGATAAGTTTAAGGTATTATTATTATTATTATTATTATTATTTCCCATGATTAAAAGCATTAAAAGTGAAAAAGGATAAAAAGAGATTTTTAAAGAATTCCGAATTAATAAAAGGATTTGAATTTGTAGGGTGAACTACATGCAGTATTATATCCAATATTCGTGCACGAATATCTTGAAATGATTACGAAGGATCTGCATGAATATGGTGATATATTTATTTATTAAAATTATTATATTCATTACAATTATATTAATTATTTATATTCGATATATATTATATCTCTAATATTATCATTTTTTATAGCATCCGAATTTTTCAATACATATCAATCTGATCATATAATTCATGAGAAAGAATTAAAGACATTACGAGTGATAACACATCCTCATCATGTTAACGAGAATGAACTCGCACAAAAATTTCGATCCAAAAAATTCACGGTTAAAATGTCTCAAACTTCTCTTGATATATTAATTGATCTTTTACAAAATAATAGTCTTTTATTAAGAATTGTGAATCAAAATATTAAAATTGATAAAATTGAAGGTATGAAATCTTAATTTTTGTTATTATCACTTTTTTTATACTTATTATTTTATTACTATAAATATAAATATATAATTATTATTTTATTAATACAATATATATATATATTACTATACATTATTCTATATTATTATTATTATATTATTATATTATTATTAATAGTAAGACAAGTAGGTTTAGGTGTATCACACACAGATATTGGATTTCCGGGATTTGACACGGAAGAACTGGAAGAATTCAATAAACAGGAAGTTCAATTAGGTCCTTTACCAATTGAACCATCCTTTCGAGATGAAGTTGAGAAAAAGCTATCGGAAGAAGATCGTAAAATTATTGAAGCAGCAGAATCTCAAGTTGTATCTGTTGATTTCTTAATTTTATTATATATATTATATATCTTTTTTTTTTTTTTTTAGTTAATAAATATAATTTAATAAATTAAATAAATATTAATTAATTAATATTAGGCGAACGGAATTCCGAAACAATTTACATCACTTCAACAAGAATTTAATGAAAAAATCCGACGGGAACAACAAAATTCAGATGTTCCAGATAGAGCTTCAATACCGCTACCGTCATAGTATGTTTTTGATCACATTTGATTGCAGTGAAACCTATTATTATAATATATAAATATGGTTTTACAACATATCTGACATGAGAGAAATTCAGCAAAGGAGCTGACGTACACTCGCAAATCGAAATAATTAAAGACATGACACAGAGAATAGAATTGGGTCCTTCCTCTCTACCTTCCGTTTGTTTTTATAGTTTTCATAATACTCACGATAGGTAAAATTTTTTTTCATTTATTTTTAATTTATTTATTTTTAATTTATAATAATTTAATAATAATTAATTAATAATAATTAATTAATAATAATTTAATAATAATAATAATTTATTATAATTATTGTTTCTTTAGTTTGAATTGCTTATCCATCTCCGAGGATTCTTCTCTTATTGCGGGAGGTTTCTCCGATTCATACGTAAAGATTTGGAGTTTAAAAGATGAAAAACTTCGAGGGTTGAAAAGTCAAATCAAACCATCTGAAATTAATTCAGGTAAAATAATCTTATGATAATTTAATTTTATATATACATAACATATATATATATATATATATATATATATATATATATAATTTTATGGTATGTTATTTTAAAAAATGGTTAAAATTTTATTAAAATAATTTAATAATTAAGTATATGATCTAGAAAATGCGAGGGAGAGCCCTGGTAGTGTTTATAAAAAACTTTTAGGACATTCTGGTCCTGTTTTTGGATTAAGTTTTAGTCCAGATAATAGATATTTGGTTTCATGTTCAGCTGATAGTACTGGTAATTTATTATTTATTTATTATTTATTTATTATTAAATTTATTATTAAATTTATTTATTTATTTATTTATTATTTTTTTTTTTATTATTTATTTATTATTAATATTTTTTTATAATTTATTTTTTATAATATTTATTTTATTAATTTACAAATTTTAAAATTTATTTTATTAATTTATAACCTTTCAATTAATTTCATTGAATAATAAAAGCAAGACTTTGGAGTACGGATACATTTACTAATTTAGTATGTTTTAAGGGTCATAATTCACCAGTTTGGGATGTGGAGTTCAGTCCAATGGGATTTTATTTTGTAACAGCTGGACATGATAGAACTGCTAGAATTTGGAGTTGTGATCACATTTTCCCTTTAAGAATTTTTGTTGGGCACATGTCAGATGTTGATGTAAATATAAAATTATTTATTTATTTATTTTTTAAAAATTCTTACGAATATATGAATACATGTTTAAATATTTCTTTATTTATTACTTATTAATTTATTTATTCTAAAAAAAAAAAGTGCGTTAAATTTCATCCCAATACCAAATACATTGTCACTGGATCTAGTGATAAATCAATTCGTATGTGGGATATTCAACGAGGTTCATGTTTTCGAATACTTTCCGGTCATACGGGAAGTATTTGTTGTTTAGCTATATCTTCGGATGGAAGATTATTAGCTTCCGGTGGTAAGAAGAATTTTCATATTATTATTAATAATTAATTAATTAATTAATTAATTAATAATTAATTATTATTATCAATCATTTATTTTAGGTGATGACGAAATGATAATCTTATGGGATTTAGGAACAGGAAAGTTAATTAAAAAAATGACTGGACATACTGATTTCATAAATTCATTGGCATTTAGTAAGGGAGATAATCTTCTCGTATCTGGAGGTGCAGATAATACAGTTCGTATATGGGATGTTAAAAAGTGTTATTCAAATGATTTATTAAACGATGGATGGGGAAAAGTTCAATCATTATCTATAAGTAATAAACCGAAAACACCGACAGTAACAACTGCAGCAACTGCTACTTCAACAACAACAACAATTACTACTAATGTTGCTACGGCTAAAACTAATGACGCTGCAACTAGTGTTACTACTACTCTGGAGAGTGAAAACGTTAATCCCATCAATACTTCGATGTCTTCGTCTTTGTCGTCGATTAAGCAATTAAAAAGTAAATCAACTGCATCTCCGTATGTACTACTATTTTTATTTATTTTATTAAAATGTTATTAATTAATTTATTTATTTTATTACAATATTATTAATTAATTTATTTATTTTATTTTACTACAATGTTTACATTTATCGTAGTGATCTCTTGAAAACATTACCAACGAAGAAATCACCAGTTTATAAAATACATTTCACAGGACGAAATCTATGTCTTGCCGCAGGTTCATTCACATCTAGTGAAGAGGAGAAATTATATTACGAGCAAATGATTAAACAAATGAATAAACAGAAAGAAAATAAACAACAAGATAATGATAAAGAAACAGAAAAAAGTTGATATATTTTTTTAAAATAAATAAATAAATATATACACATAATGGTAATTGATTTATATATACATAGTAATCGATGTAATTTCTTTCATTTTTTTGACACATTTTGATAATATTAATAATAAATAAAGATGCAATTAAAAAATGTAAATATTTTAACAAAAAAAAAAAAAAAAAGAAAGAATATTATTAGAAAATTATCATGAATTTGAATTTAAAATTATTCTTCTTCATTTGATATTCTTCTTGCTTTAAAAAAATTATTATTATTATTATTGGATTTAAAATTATTATTATTATTATTATTATTATTATTATTACTATAATTACTATAATTATTATAATTATTTCCTCTAAAATTATTATTATCTCTAAAATTAAAATTATTTCTATCTTTAAAATTAAAACTATTATTATTAAAATTATTAAAATTATTATTAAAATTATCTCTATTTCTTGTAAAGGGGGTTGAGGTATCAATAAATAATCTCATTTCATGAGCTAAATCTGGATATTTATCTCGGACCCATTGCATAACTTGAAATTCATCTTTACTTTTACCTTTTCTATCATGTAAGAAATTTAATAAAGGTCTTATGGATCTTTCTTCTGGTGTAAATCCCGCACTGATGAACTCATTAAATAAAATATGTTTGGCATCCTCAAATAATTGATTTCGTGCCAATGCTTCAATGATCGAATGATAATTATTAATTGTTAAATTAAATTTTCTTCTCTTAAGTTCTTTCCAAATTTGGATCAATTTATAAACTTCTTTGGCAAATCCACATGAATCAAGAACTATACAAACTGTGGTATTATTAAATGGTTGATTGTTGGCAACTAATAAATCCCAAATTGTTAAAACTTGTTTGATATGCCCACATCTATTATATGCATCCATTAATGCATTATAAATTCCAATATCTAATTCGACATTTATATCCATTTTTACTATACCATGAATATTTTTCACCCCTTTATAATCATATTGTTGTCCTAACCCTGTAATTAAGGTGGTATAAGTTTTAACATTAGGTTTAATCCCTTCTCTTAACATATCTCCAAATAATCTTTGAGCTTCAGAAATTCTTTTTATTTTAATGAATGCATCAATCAATGTGGTATACCCTTGAACATCAATTTGTATCTTTTGAGTTTGTTTGACTTCATAATAAAATTGAATTGCATCATTCTCCCTTCTTGATAAGATCATCAATTTTGTTAAATTAGTAAATGGAATAATTCCAATGGTTTTCCCTTGTTTAACTATCATATCATAAATTTCTATGGCTCCATTCACATTATAATTATCTACACAAATCCCAATAAGTGCATCTGATACAATTGGTTCAATCTCTATTTCTTTTTTAATCATTTCTTGTAAAAATTCTTTAACTAAATTTTGTTCTTTTCTTAATCCAAAGAAAAAGTATTTTAGATTTCTATATTGATTTCTATAATTACTGTTATTATCATTATCCTTGTTATCCTTATTCTTATTATTCTTGATTAGTTCTTTTTGTTGTTGTTGTAGTAATTTTAACTCTTGATTTTGTTGTTGCAATTCTTCATTTTGTTGTTGTAATTGTTGTAATCCTTCATTTTGTTGTTGTAATTCTTGATTTAATTGTAATTCTTCATTTTTTTGTTGCAATTCTTGATATTGCTGCTGGTTTAACTCTTGTAATTCTTGTAATTCTTGTAATCTTTCATTCTTCTGCAATTCTGATAATCCTTCTTCATTCTGCTGCAATGCTTGATTTTGTTGTTGTAATCCTTCATTTTGTTGTTTTGATTCTCGATTTATTTGTTGCTGCAATTCTTGATTTTGTTGCTGTAATAATTCTTGCATTCCTTCATTTTTTTGTTCTGGTTGTTCTTCTTTATGTTTATCTTTCACTTTAAATTTTGATTTCTCTTTCAAATTAAAATCTTGAAATAATTCTAATGCTTTATCTGCATTCCCGGATTTCATTAATACGGGTAAACACATATCATACATTTTAAAATTTAAATAAATTCCTTTCGATTTCATTAATCGATAAATTTCCATAAATTTATCAACCTCGGATTTCTTAATAAATAATTCTAATAATATGTGATAAGTGGATTTATCAGGTGAAATTTCTTTTTTAATTAATTCTTCATAAATTTCAAATACTTTTGATGTAGCATTTGATTTTGAGTACATCTTTATTAATGAATTATAAGTCGTAGTATCTAAGGTGATATCACGTTTTGAAATATCTTCACGAAGTTCCTCAATTTTTTGTATACTCTCGTATTTTCCCGAATTAATATAAAGATTTATTAATACATCAAAAGTTATTTCATCCGGTTCCACCTTATTTAATTCAATCATTTCTTGATAAAATTTGATGGCAATTTCCAGATCCCCCCTTTTACCATATAAATCAATTAAGGTATTATAAGTTGAAGAATCCGGGGATAACCCATTTTGTTGCATTTCTTCAAATGCTCTTAATGCACCTTCGGAATCCGACATTCGTTTAAAGGTTCCGATCAATGTGTTATAAGTGAAAGTGGTTAATTCAACTTGATCTTTTTTCATCAAATCTAAAATTCCCCAAGCTTCTAATGGTTTACCGTGTACTCCGTTAGCATAAATGAGTGAATGATATGCTCTTCTACCCGGGGGTATTCCTAACGTATGCATATCATCGATCATCCGATATAATAAATTTAATGCTTCTTTGGAAGTTGATTTTCTTAATATTGACATGGCATTATAATAATCATCTTCCATCAATAAATTATTTTCTTCGGAATTAAATAATTGTTTATAGGAATTCATAATTTTATTGACATTTTTTTCTTGAATTGAATTATTAAATGATTCATAAAATGATTTATTCTTATTATGATTTTTATTATTATTTGATAATTTATTAGTATCCATTATTTCTGTTATATTCGGATCCTTTAATTCCGCTGGATTCTCTAAATCCTTTAATTTTAATTCCGCCGTATTATCTACGTCATTTAATTTTAATTCTTCATTATCTTCACATTTAAAGACATTTTCTATCCGATTTTCGGAAGAGGTAGTATTATTATTATTATTTCTTGAAACGGTTGTACAATGAATATAATTAACGAAGCTTTTATTAAAGAATGTTGAATAATAATAATAATTGTTGATTTTATTATTGCTATTATTATTATTGTTATTATTATGATTATTTGAACTTTCAAGAATTGAGAAAAGAAATGATGAATTTCTAAGATTTTTTGGGGGTTGAGTAAACCAGAGTAAAGTAATTCTCGAAAGTGGTAAAGAATTTTTTGGAAATAACTTAAGCATTTTTTTTTTTTATAAAAAAAATAATAATAATAATAATAATAACTGACCGTAAAAAATTTATGATAATCATAAATTTATTGACAAAAAACAGATCTAGATCCACAAATCGGGGTTAGTTTCTAATGTCATCCAAATTACATCGTTTTAGTTTTTTAGAAATCGTAAAAAAATGTGATAGTTTTCCATATCCAGAAGAAGAGGTAGAAGAAAAATATAAAACTACCACACCATTTTTACTTTCTAATGTTAAAATTGGTTCACTTCTTTCTCCCACAAAACAAGCCTTAATAAGATATAATAATGAACGAAATGAAAATCCTCGACCTTTTATCATCGAAGAAAACTTTATTACCTTTTCTTCTCACATCAATACATTCGAACAACGAACAAATATTATAAAACAACTTTTTGATACGTGGAGAGAAGAAAAGACTTTTTTGGCTTTGGAAGGTTTATAAAAAGTTATTATAATAATAATAATAATAATAATAATTTAATTTTGATAATTTATTTTATATTCATAATGTATTTAATAAATTAATTGATTATTATTAAAGGTTGGCGAGATGAATTATATCCTGTATATGGAGACCCTAATGGTCCATATAAAATGGCATTCGTCATTGAACGAGCCGCGACTCCATTATTTGGGGTATTAACATTTGGAGTTCATTTAAATGGTTACATTAAGACCGTCGATGGGAATTATAAAATGTGGATCGCTCAACGTTCCAAAACCAAACAAACTTGGCCAGGGTACTTGGATAATTTTGTGGCCGGAGGGGTACCATATGAATTATCAATTTCGGAATCGGTCATTAAGGAAGCAATGGAAGAAGCTAGTTTGCCAGAGGAAATCTCAAAGAAAGCTATTCCTACGGGTGCCATTACTTATTTCACCGTTACTAAAAATGGATTACAACCAGAGGCACAGTATGTATAACATTTATGTATATTATTTTATTTTATTTTTAATTTGATTGGACTTTTATTTTATTTTATTTTATTTTTTTTTATTATTATTTTATTTTTATTTATTTGTTAGATATGTTTATGATATTGAACTTCCTGTTGACGTAATACCCAAACCACATGATGACGAAGTAGAATGTTTCTATCTTTGGGATATTGATGAGGTATATCATCATACAATTATTTATTAATTTTTGTACTTACGTTGACATCTTCGTTTATGTAACAGTTATTATTTATTTATTATTTATGATTATTTATGATTATTACCGTCACTGGAAAAAGGTTATTGATCATATTCGAGCGGGAGAATTTAAACCAAATTGTGCGTCGGTTGTAATAGATTTTTTGATACGTCATTCATTAATTTTACCTGATGAAGAACCGGAATATTTAGATATCTTATATCGACTTCATAGACGAATTGAACTTCCCGGACCTTCATGAAATTGGATCCACAGGGATTGCACAACACTAATAATGATAGTTACTTTATTTAATGTGAAATCAGTATGGTCGTACAAGTGGTTAATTTTATCACAAATTCAGGATAACTTATAAAATTTTTTTAATCGATTTAATAATATTTAAAGCATTAGATCTATGAAGCAATAAACCTCAAAAGAAAGTAAATTAAATTATTTTTCTTTTTTAGAAAAAATGAAATAGAAAAATAGATAAAAATATAAAAGTTCGAACGATTACATCCGCACCAATAGGAATTGAATCTTTCATTATTATTATTATCATCATCATTATAATATTTAAATAATGATTCAATTTTACATTAGCTATATCATTCATTTCGTGGTGTTGGCCTGTTTCTTTATTTTTATTTTTATCTATATTATTATTTTACTTGGTATTTATTGCTATTTATATATTATCAAATGAATGTATATATATCCATGTTTTTATTTTGGAAAAAAATAAAATAAATTTATATGGTGCAGAAAGTCTAAAGACATCAAATACAAAATATATGAATAAAAAAAAGGAATTCAAAAATTTTACGTGAATAAAAAAAAGAGAACATAATTTTGGATTCAGCTTAGAATTAGAACAATTTGCAAAAGAAAATGCTGAAAATGCGATGATTCTAGCTATAAACCCTGCTTCCTAAGTCAAGAATTCCGCCTTCTCCCTTTTAAGTTGAGTATTTGCCATTTTTATTTAAAATACGGATTTATTCAAAAGGTTAATCACATTAAAAATATATTGGAATATAAAAAATTGAGTTAATGCATTGTAATAAAAATCGAAAAGAAACAAATCTAATGTTCTATATTATATTGACTATACTATAAGTTTCTCGTTTGTCTAAACTATCTGTACTAACACATTATCTCAATATTAACTACAATTCCCTTTCAAAAAACTTTCCCACATAATTGCAAAATTGTTAAAGATGTAAACTTTTTATACTTTTTATGGCGACTACGACTCTAACAACGGGATTGGCGAGATTGACAGTCTATGTGATCTTTAACTTCGACTCAAATCCCTTGAGGGTAATATAACGACAGTACATTTTATAGTAGAGGGCGCCGTTACTTCCATTACTGTAATTCAAGTCAAAGGTAAATAAATACTGCAACTGATACTTCACATTTAGTTTTTTTTTTTTTTTTTTGGCTAACTAGAGCCATTTCTTTACAATGATAGTACTTTTGCTGTTCGTGAACCTAATGAAGATTTAACAAGGCTCCGATTATTATGGTGGAAAGAAGGAAATTTTATCCAGAAGCCAAAATGGGAGGAAGTTACGTAAGTTCTTTCGTGGTAGGCCGGTTATATTTAAGCATGACTAATTTTGGTTGATTACAACAAGGCTTCCGTACGTACTCGCCGAAGGTGTGAGTTTGGACGAGTTCGAAAGTCGCACCGACGAATTTAACGCGCATGGTTTATGGGAATGGGCAAATTTTGAAGTCTCAGTTTATGAACTTTCACTAAAGCCACACGAAATTTGTATTGGCGCGATTAATAAGGAATTTAATGAATGCTGTAGAGGGGCTAATCGTACTAATGCCACGATTATAGGTCTAGGAGCAACCTGTAGGCGTCAATTAATTAACTATCTCAGTCCTATTTGTGATATCAAACTAATATTTTCTTAAAGGAACTCGTGCTGATGATTCCGGAAAAGAAGAAGATTTATCATTTCGTCCAATGAAACCACGAGTACCAACACTAACCGGAAGTGACGGATAGGTACTTTTATTAATTTTTTTATTTTTTCGACTTTAACATTGTAACTTTACATTTCATGATTCAGAGCGAACCGTAGCCAAATATCATTATAGAGGTCTCATATTTTGAAAGCGTAAATCATGTCTTTGAGAAAGTGAAAATTACTGGCTAAAGGATTATAGTCGCGCACATGATGCGATAGTTGTTAAAATTGATCCTGTTTCTGTGGGCGAAATACCTTCACGCATGCAAGTAAGTTATATTTCTTAAAAGTGTAACTGGCGTTTTATTGCTTGTGTACTATTCTAAAGAATAAATCTATGCAGGCATGACATTTTTGTTCTAGGGACAGAAGAGAACTTCAACATCGAACTCACGTAAATATAGGAAAAATTATCTTTTCTATCAACTTTTCAAAATTTTTAATATGAATGGTTTATTATTATTAGTTCGAGTTTTGCACTCGTGATGGAGCCGGAAATCTGCTGGATATTCCACGAGGCGTCTGCCTCATCAATATTTTTTAAATTCCTCGACTATCAAGCATACCCTGATATTCAAATCCCTCCTTTATTCGAGATAAAATCTTCTGTGCGTATCGTGTATAACGTTTAAATAAACCATTGCACAGCATATTCTTATGTATTCCTATGTATTCTTATGTATTCTTATGTAATATATCACAATATACTATATAAAATTTATATAGTAGTTTAAAAGAAACCATTCAATAATTATTGTATCTATTAATTTTAATTCATTTTCAAAATTCTTATCATATTGTGCTAGAGTTTTGTAGCCATTTGTTGTTGATAAGATACAAAGTTGAGAATGAATTGTTGTACCATTTATGTTGTTAGCTGCTACACCAGTTGGAGCCATTAGTAAGTATTTTGATT